AGTTGTTCAAAGAAGTGACACCATTGGAATTCTCCTATGCTTTAGTTAATATGTTATGGTATATATACATCTGCTGCTGAACCTTTGTTGAAAAATGTGTTGGAAGCTACCATTGACATTGAATCCTGAGATTTCAGAAGTGACTGAAATATTCCAGGCATTTCTCAGTTTGCTATGTTCTTTGGGAAAGCATTGTAGCCATGAGAAGTTAGAAGTCATCTTTTCAAGAGGCTGCACGGGGCAATTGATGATTTCTACATGTGAACTTATTTACCTTCATAAAACCCATGAGCTGTGTATTATGAACACCTCTGTGTCTAGAGGATGAAACAGAAGCACAGGAGAGGAAATACATAAAAAGTTCCAGAATGAGTGAGCAATGATAGAACTGAGATTTGACCTAGACAGTTGGGTTCTATGGCATGTAACCACTAACCCTCCCAAATGTTATTATAGTTTTCTTTGTGAGCATGCAAAAAAAAAAAACCAACCCCACCTTATTTCTCTAAGCTTAATTTAATTCATAATAAAATGGACACAACCTCTACCTGAAAACTTGTTTTTACTAGTTTTACTAAAAACATGTTTTTACTAGTTAAATAGAGGTTAGAGTAGCACAGACTTTTTTTTGCCTGGGCTTGGCTTTGAAGTATAACTCTTAGACCTTAGTCTTCTGAGTAGCTAGGATAATAGGAATGAGCCACTAATGTCTACCTTTGAATATATGATACTTTTGACTTTGAAAAATCAACAATTATTAGTTTTGGGAGTTATTAGTTTTGATCATTTTCCTTATTTGATAGAAAAGAAAGTAAATTCTGTGATGTTAGGTGACAAACATCTCATGATAGACTTAGATCTATAACTCAGACCTTCTGGCTATGTTTCTATTACCATCTAGCAACTTTCCTTGCTTGAAAAACCATCATAGGAGAGATTAAATTTCTTAAATGTTCCCATAAAAGTAAGGATCAAGCTGGATGCCAGTGGCTCACTCCTGAAATCCTGGCTGCTCAGGAGGCTGAGATCTGAGTTTCACGATTCAAAGCCAGCCTGAGCAGGAAAGTTTGTGAGACTCTTATCTCCAATTAACCACCAGAAAACCAGAAGTGGTGCAGTGGCTCAAGTGGTAGAGTGCTAGCCTTGAGCTGAAGAGCTCAGGGACAGTGCCAAGGCCCAGAGTTCAAGACCCACGACCGACCACAAAAAGAAAAGTAAGGATCAAGAAATAATGGAGGATGCTATAGGGAGGAAAGTCTTTGTTCTGTATAGCAAAGAACTTAAATTTTTTTAAAATTATCTTTAAGTGGTTGTAAAAGAAGTTCCCCTTCTACAAAACAGTATATGAATACAAAGTGTCTGACAACATTGTCACCCATGGCTCCTAACCCACCCCTTCTCTCATTTTTCAGCGAAGAACTTTTTAATACAGTATTGTTCAACCATGGAAGGTACTAACTTGCAAAGGTCTGGAAAAAACTGAAAAAGTCAAAGTGATAAAAAATGAGAAAAGACTGTTGGGTATTCTAGCAGATGCAGCCTAAGGAGACATTAACCCATTAACCAATGTGTCTGTCTAGTCATCTGATCATCTGATTTTATAGTGATGTGTGCCTTCAGAGGTGTGTGTGTGTGTGTGTGTGTGTGTGTGTGTGTGCCAGTCCTAGGGCACGTTTGCTGACCCTGAGCCTTTTTCTTCTTTTATTTCTCAAGGCTACTGCTTTACCACTGGAGCCTAGCTCCATTTTCAGGATATTTTTTGGTGGTTAATTGGAGATAGGAGTTTCACATTCTTGCCTAGGCTTGCTTTGAACCTCAATCTTCAGATCTCAGCTTCCGTGGTAGCTAGGATTATAGTCATGAGTCTTTAGCACAACTCCATAAGCCATAGAAAATTGATGGATGATTTGTGTCCATAGAGATGCAAATGAACTTTGATTGCACCTGTTTCCTCGCCCTCAAAGCCAGTTTTTTTTTTTTTCTTTTTTCTTTTTTTTTTAAAATTTTATTTGAGAGCATACTGTACAGAGGGGTTACAATTACATGGGCAGGATAATGCATACATTTCTTACCAAGCATTGCAGCCTCCTCCTTTGTTTACCCTTCACCTCCCTTCCCAGCCTCCCCCCTCCCCCCCACCCAATCATACCCCCCCTCCCCCCCACACCGACATTGTAAAGCTGGTTTTGACATGACATTTTGTACTTCTCATTGTTGCAACAGGTCCACCTGAATCCTTAAACGACTTGTTTGTCCCCATCTCCTCCACCTGTTATACTGACATCAAATATAGTGAAAGCAGGGGTTACACTGTGGGGGAGGGACATACAAAGCAACCAAGAAATAATCTTATAAATGCGTTAGAAAAACATGCATGAAAGAAACAAAAACATTAAAATACATATTTGAGGGTTCGTTTTCCTAACATCACATTATCTGACTTTTTCCGCTTGACTCATACCTATACTAGATATTGCAAATAAGGGAAACCATGGGACCTATGTTTCTTTGGGCCTGGCTTACTTCACTTAATATAATTTTTTCCAAGCCTTTCCATTTCCTAACAAATGGGGCAATGTCATTCTTTCTGATGGAGGCATAGAATTCCATTGTGTATATATACCACATTTTCTTGATCCATTCATCTATTGAGGGGCATCTGGGTTGGTTCCATATCTTAGCTATGGTAAATAATGCTGCAATAAACATAGTTGTGCTGGTAGCTTTAGTATGGTCTTTTTTGTAAACATTAGGGTAAATGCCCAAAAGTGGGATTGCTGGGTCATAGGGGAGCTCTATGTGGAGTCTTTTGAGGAACCTCCATACTGCTTTCCAAAGTGGTTGAACAAGTTTACATTCCCACCAACAATGAAGTAAGGTTCCTTTCTGTCCACATCCCCTCCAGCATCTGTTGTTGTTAGAGTTCTTGATTTTTGCTGTTCTAACTGGAGTGAGGTGATATCTCAATGTTGTTTTGATTTGCATTTCTTTTATGTCAAAGCAAGTTTTGTAAGGATTAACTTATACATTCCAGCATTCTTGTTGCCTACATAATATGATAACCTATTTTTTTCCATTCTCCTCTGGACACTTATAAGTCCTTTCTTGTTTCCTCATTAATGAACTAAATAAAACATTTAATGTGTATCCATTTTATAGTTGTACAAGAGCCATGATCTCACCCTTTTGGAAGCAATTATGTTTTAACCTGAAACCCTGGGTGTATTCGGGGGTGGGGGAAGGGATGAAGGACCATTTCTTTTAACTGTATTTTTTTCAACTTTTCTTTCTTGCTACTGGGGATCGAACCCAGGACCTTGCACTTGGTAGGTAAGCGCTTTGCCACTGAGCTACATCCCAGCCCAAGAAGGACCATTTCTTGATTGCTGCTGAGGCAAAGATTCTTTACTCTTAACTAGTACGTTCTTTCTTTTTTTTTTTTTTAAAAAAATTTTAGGCGAGAAGAGTTATTCATATCTGTATTTCCCCCAGGAGGCTAAATTACCTAGTTATTCCCAACTAACATCAAAAAAAGAATAGTCAGGTGCCTGTAATTACGGGTTCACGCCTGTAATCCTAGCTACTCAAGAGGCTGAGATTTGAGAATCGCGGTTCCAAGCCAGCCAAGCCAGCCGGGGCAGAAAAGTCCCTGTGAAACTCTTAACTCCAATGAACCACTCAACAGCTGGAAGTGGAGCTGTGGCTTAAAGTGGTAGAGTGCTAGCCTTGAGCACAAAAAGGTTCAGCGACAGGGTCCAGGTTCTGAGTTCAAGCCCTACGACTGACAGGAAAGAAAGAAAGAAAGAAAGAAAGAAAGAAAGAAAGAAAGAAAGAAAGAAAGAAAGAAAGAAAGAAAGAAAGAAAGAAAGGAAGGAAGGAAGGAAGGAAGGAAGGGAAGGAGAGAGGGAGAGAGAAAGGACGGAAGGAAAGAAAAAAGAAATTAAAGAAAAAGAAAGGAAGGAGAGAGAGAAAAAGGAAGGAAGGAAAAAATTAAAGAAAAAGGAAGGAAGGAAGGAAGAAAGGAAAGAGAAAGGAAAGAAAGAACCCACAACCGACTGGAAAGAAATAAAGAAAAGGAAAAGGAAAGAAAAACGAAGTGTTTCATTTCTGATTGACCCACCTTTCCCACGCGCGGCCACCAGGGGGCGGGAGAGCCTGCGCGATCTCCGGGACGGGACTGCCCGTCCACGGGACTCAGGGGGCGGGAGGCCTCGGTGGGACGTCCGTGGGAGGGAGAGGATTAGGGCTGGGAACCGCAGGGCCAGTTCAAACAGCCCCACCCCGGTCTTTACGGCCGCGGGTGAGTCCGCCGGCCTCGGAGGAGGGCAAAGTCCGGACAGAATTGCGAGTTAACCTTGGATGCACTGAACGAACAGCTTTGCTAGCCGAGGACGACATCCGCGCGCCCCAGCCCCCTTGAGGGCGCTGCCCGCCGCTGACGGGTCACGGGTCCCCACGACGACAATCGGGGGAGGGAGGGGTGATGGGGAGCACCCCCACATCGCCGGACGGGGGCGCGTGGCGGTCAGGAGGACGCGCGCTCCAGTGCCCGCGAACCCTGCGAGGTCTCCGGAGAGGGGTCCCTCGGTTCTCTCGCCGCCAGCTCCGAAGCGGCGCTGGATCAAGCGCAGGCGCCGTTCCACTCGTGTTTCCACCACCCGCAGCACACCCCCACGGCCTCGCCGCAGCCGGGCTCTGGCGGGGTCCGTCTCTTGGGTATCGTACATTGATTGATTGGTTGATTGATTGAGGAACCGAACCTGCGGAGGGGCCGCTGGGTCCGGTGTGGATGGAGGGGTTAACGCGGGACTCGAGGGTCTTTCTACCCCGCCCGGCAGCGCTCAGGTGCGGCTGGATCCCGAGCGAGGGGAGGTGTGGCGCTGGCGCGGGGCCGGGCGGCGCTGGCCCTTTAAGGAGGAGCGCGGGGCGCGGCCCAGGTGCGGGGCGGGTCGGCGGGCGGGGAGCGCGCTGCGCGCCGGCGCTCGGCCCCGGGGAGCCGGATTTGGAGCGCGGCGCCGGCGGGGGCCGGGAGGGGGCGGCGCGGCGGACCTCGGGGGCCCGGGACGCTCCTCCGACGCGAGCGGCCGCCGGCCCGGCTCCGCCTTGCGCCCGGGAGCTCCCTCGGCGCGGCCCGGCCGCTGGTCGCCGCTCCGCCGGGGCGCGCTCACCTGGGACGCGCTCCCCGCCCCGCGGGCACCTGGGCGCCGGGATGAAGGACCGGCTGGAGCAGCTGAAGGCCGTGAGTCGCGCGGGGCCGGCCGGGGGTGGGAGTGTGGGAGGAGGATCGGGGGATAGATCGGGAGGATGGGGGGTGTGGATCCGGAGGATGGGGGGGGCGGATCGGGAGGATCGGGGGGGGGTGGATCCCGAGGATCGGGGGGGGAGGATCGGGGGGATCGGGGGGGCGGATCGGGGGGGCGGATCGGGAGGATCGGGGGGGCGGATCGGGGGGGCGGATCGGGAGGATCGGGGGGTGTGGGTGTGGGGGGAGGTTCGGGGGATAGATCGGGAGGATCGGGGGGTGGATCCGGAGGATGAGGGGAGGGCGGATCGGGAGGATCGGGGGGAGGTGGATCCGGAGGATCGGGGGGGCGGATCGGGAGGATCGGGGGGGGGGGGGGGAGGTGGGTCGGGAGGATCGGGGGGAGGTGGATCGGGAGGATCGGGGGGGGGGCGGATCGGGAGGATCGGGGGGTGGATCGGGAGGATCGGGGGGGGGGGCGGATCGGGAGGCTCGGGGTTGGGGTGGGGAGGGGGGCGCTGGGACCCTCGGGGAGGCGCAGCTGCGCGGGGAGCGGCTGTCGCTGTGACTCCGCAAGTCCAGGCGGATGGCGGGGGGCGCTGCTGAGGCCTGCGCTCTCCCTCCCCCCCCCCCCCCCCCCCCCGCCACCCCCCTCCTCGCCGCATCCCGCACCCTTCCTTCCCGGCCGGGTCATGTGCTCGGTGATTCATCCCGGGGCAGCGATTTCCCTGAACGCCTCTTAACGTTCCACCGCCACGGGGCTGGACAGCGGCTCCCCGCGAGCCGGAGGCGCAGGGCCGGGGTGGGGGGGGGCGGGGAGGGGGGCAGCTGGGGTTCACCGTGAGGTCAGCCTGCCCGTGGCTGCTTTTGGCCCTGTGCCTCCTGCCGGGCTCCCCCTCGCCTTCTCTTCCTATGTTACTCTCCTGGGGGAAGGGGCGGGGGGGGGGGGGACCAGGCCCGGCCACCCCCCCCACTCCCCCCTTCCTTCGGGGAGCGGCTCCGACCGTCAGTCACGCGCTAGGAGGGGAGTCTGCTTGGAACAGCTGTAGTCCCGGCCGAGGCTCAGCCCGGGGAGACCAAAGCTGGGAGCTTTGGGTTACTTCCTCTTTTGAGACTGCTTCCTGATCTGCCCCGTGGGTTATGAGGATTGAGTGGCCAGGGCACTTGTTCCAGCCAAACGTTCACGCGTGGTTTTTCCAGGCAGCTATGCATTGAGTCATTGAATAGTAATTATTAAGTGCATTAGGTGTGTGTGTGGGGGGGGGGGAGCAGGGCAGGAGTACAGCGTCAAACCTTGGGTGACCCAGTGACATAGGCTGTACCTTAATGGTATAGTTTAAAAATCTATCCCTGGAGCTAGCCAGGCAGTGGCTCACAAGTGTAATCCTCGCTGCTCAGGAGGCTGAGATCTGAGGATCAGGGGGAGTTCAAGCTCCAGGACACACACACACACACACACACACACACACACACACACACACACACACACACACACACACACACACACACACACACACACACACACACACACACACACACACACACACACACACACACACACACACACACACACACCCCAGCCTTGGATACAATGTATTCTGTCTACTTGAGAGCTTGGTAGAAGTGTCTCCCTTTAGCCCCCAGTCTATACCTTCCAGATCACACACACACACACACACACACACACACACACACACACACACACACACACACACACCAGCCTTGGATACAATGTATTCTGTCTACTTGAGAGCTTGGTAGAAGTGTCTCCCTTTAGCCCCCAGTCTATACCTTCCAGATCACACACACACACACACACCCAGCACACACACACACACACACACACACACACACACACATCCAGCCCTGGAGCCAGCCAGGCAGTGGCTCACATGTGTAATCCTAGCTGCTCAGGAGGCTGAGATCTGAGGATCAGGGGGAGTTCAAGCTCCAGGACACACACACACACACACACACACACACACACACTCACACACACACACACACACACACACACACACACACCCAGCCTTGGATACAATGTATTCTGTCTACTTGAGAGCTTGGTAGAAGTGTCTCCCTTTAGCCCCCAGTCTATACCTTCCAGATTGAACTCGGCTGGATCTTTCCAGGTAATGCACAAGCACATTTGGGAAATGGACTGGTTTAGAACTGGGGTTTTCTCCTGGCCTCACTGCTTTACTGCCCACTCCTTACACGACAAGCCTGACTTGTTCACTGAAAATATGTCTAGTTGTCCAAGCTAAGTGCTAGAGAGTATGCATGCAGAAGAGCTGTTTGGTGAGTGGTGCATAGAATATCTTTGAAAGGATCATGTTGCAATTTAGTTTTCTTTTTTTGGGGGGTGGGGGGAAGGAGGGGCAATACTGGGGCTTAAACTCAGGACTAGACCCTGTCCTTTAGCCTTTTCTATTCAAGGTTGGTTGAACCACAGCTCCACTTCCAGGTTGGTCCGTTCCCTCCCCCCCCCCCTCTTGTGGGGCTTGAACTCGGTCTGGGCGCTGTCCCTCAGCTCTTCAGCTCAAGGAGAGCACTCTACCACTTGAGCCACAGCACCACTTCCTTCTGTTTTTTTTTGGATTGGAGAGTCATGGATTTACCTGCTGGGTCTGGCTTTGAACCATGATCCTAAGATCTCAGTCTCCTGAGTAGCACCCAGTTTACAATGATTTTTCTTTCTCCTTCTTTATTTGGGTGAGATCTTCATGACCCTGTCATGGGCAGGCTGCCGAGGTGCAGAGGGGCTTATTGTGGGAGTCTGCCTCCCTGTCAGCAGAGTCTCTGGGCTTCCTGGTTACCTAAAAGGGCAGAATTTATTGCCCCTGTTTTATAGATGGGAAAGCTGGAGCTCCACCTTGGTAGGGAGGGATGCCTCAGGCCATACAGCCGGTCTGGGCCCAGCTGGGAGAGGAATTCAGATTCCTGATGCTCATCCTGGAGCTCTTTCTTAGGAGCATGCTGAGTGGGGAGGCAGAAAGGAAAGAAGAGCCTGAATTGGAACAATTTTCTAAATCAGCACGCTCACCAATTATAAAGAGGGGCAAAAGCAAATGGCTGTCAGAGAGAGGCAATGTCCTTCCACAGCATGGTACTAGGTGACTTGTTTTTTTTTGGTAGTTGGGCTTGAACTCAGAGCCTGGGTGCTGTCCCTGAGCTGTTTTGCTCAAGGCTAGTGCTCTAGCGCTTTGAGTCAGAGCTCCAATGTCTGGTTTTCTGGTGGTGCATTGGAGATAAGAGTCTCACAGACTTTCCTGCCCCAGCTGGCTTTGAAGCTTGATCCTCAGATCTCAGCCTCCTGAGTAGCTAGGATTAGGGGCATGAGCTACCAGTGCCAGGCTCTGTGACTTTTTTCAATAGCTCATTGTTCATAGTCTTAATTGAGCTTTGAATTCCAAGAGGGAACCCAAGTACCACCCTTCTCCTTCCAGTGCTTCAATGGTCACCCTCCAACATGTTGAAAGTGGAGCTGTAGAGGTGCTGGTTTGGGGGAGTCTTGTTCTGGAGACATGGAGGTGTGGGGGGTGCTGTAGGCACAGTATGGGCTAGGAGAAGTATGGCCTAGCAGAGCAGAGCCGAGGGAACTGGGCTGCAGGTTTTAGAGCCTCTATTGTGGCCCTGCCAACTTCATAACGATGTTCCTTTTGTTGCTTCTGTTGCCTCTCGATGAGTCCTTTGTAAAACTAGGATTTGGGGCAGATCTCAGAAACCCTTACTGGCATTCTCAATAGTTTTCTGTGCAGCATGTTACAGTTTGTGTGGAATTTGGTGGGCGGTTTACCTGTTCTGTCCGTTACCTATCTCTTACCCCAGGAATTGCCTGCCCTGCAATCAGGTACACCATCTTCTCCCTCTGATTCAAGTTAGCCATTGCATGTATTGGTTAGCCAGGACAATCAGTCCAAAGTCTGTTGAAACACTCTCTCAACCCCAGGGGAGGGAGATGATAACTGCCATCAGATAGCCAGCGGATGTCTTGAGTGAGATTAGTTTTTCTCTGGGTGGGTAGATACAGGGGAAAGATGGGGAGGAGAGGAGGCTGATGGGTAGAAACCAGGAACTTGTAAGAAAGCATTTTCTTCTTCTTCTTATTGTGCCGTTAGTGGTGGGCCTGGGTGCAGTCCCTTAGCTTTTCTCCTCAAGACTGTGATTCTACCACTTGAGGCACATCTCCATTTCCAGTCTTTCGCTGGTTAATTTGAGATGAAAAAGTCTCATGGACTTTACTTCCAGGGCTGGCTTCCAACTTCAATCCTCAGATCTCAGCCTCCTGAATTGTTAGGATTGTAGGTGTGAGCCACTGGTGCCAGGCCACAGAAGCAATTTCGAGTAGTCAAGAGTTGCTCACAGAAGGAGCAGGCTGGTTGGAGAGGCACGAGGGACAGGCAAGAAGCTTGCTGGGATGTCCAACTTGGCTGTAGAAATTTGATCATCTCTTGGAAGGCCTCTGTGAACCCTGACCATGCTTGCTTCTTCAAGATGATTCATTGTTTATGAGTCTGTCCGAAGCCTTTGGAATCCATGAGGCCTAGGAGCTCAGAATTGTACCTTGTCATGCGAGAGTGATGAGATGAGGTAAGCTAGGAACAATCACGAAGTACAGCAAGTATGAGTTCTCTACACGGAAGGACAGAGCTTTGAGGTCACATGACCTGATCTATCTTATCTCTCGACTAGCCCTGCTGCTAGAGAGGGGTTCCCATTGGGGGCTGCTTCCTAGCTGATCTAGCAGCATGTGGTGAGGAATGTCCTTCTTTATCTGCACCAGAGCTGAACTCTGAAACGGCTGAGTCTGGAAAATGCTTGGTTCAGGGAACTTTTGCTTGGTCCTGTTTTCCATTCAACAAGTGTTTGCTGACTATAGTAAGTGTTACTTACTATGTGCTGCCTCCTGCAATAGGTATGGAGGAATAGTAGTGGTCACTTACACTTGTTTTTGTCCTTTAGGAAGTAGATGGTCAGGTTGACAGGCACACATA